TTTTTATACACGCCATTAGTTGTTTTGTTGTTGTTGTTTTTTATTTAGGTGCACTTGTTCAGTTATTTGCTAATGCAAATATCTTATATCTCAAATATCAGTTAAGACTATTTAGGCATATATTCATATATGACCTGCTGAAGATCAAAATGAGCATCAGAATGGGATTTTTAGTGACTCTGACTCTTGTTGGTATCAAACAGGCTGCTCTGAGTACTTCACTAACTGCTGATCTACTGAGAATTTTTCAAAAGAAGAAAAATCAAGGGAGTAGCAGTTCTTTGGGAAACTGGGTGAAAAGGCCTTGTTGAGGTCAGAGGAGAATGACTAGAATGCTTCAAGCTGATGGGAAGCCAAATAACTCAAATAACCACTCGTTACAACCAACTGAACCTAAGGCAGATGGGTTATAGTAGAAGAAGATCACTCTGAGCACCACTTATGTCAGCTAAGAAGAGGAAACTGAGGCTAAAATTCACACTGACTCACCAAAATTGGACAAACAGAAGAAAGAAAAAATGTTACTTGGTGTGACGAGGCTTGATTTCTGCTATGGCATTCAGGTGGTCGGGTCAAAATCTGGTACAAACAACATGAAAGCATGGATCATGATGTCTGCTTCCAACAGGATAATGCACCATGTCATGAACTCAAATGATCTCATACTAGTTTTCTGAACACTACGGTAAGTTCACTGAATTCAAATGACCTCTGCAGTCACCGCATCTCAATCCAAACAGAGCACCTGTGGGGTGTGGTGGAACAGAGATCGTGCTCATGTATACACAGCTCACAAATCTGCAGCAATTGGGATGCTACCATGTCAATATTGACCAAAATTTGTGAGGAATGTTTTTAGCACCTTGTTGGATCTGGGCCATGAATTAAAAGGCAGTTCAGAAGGCAAAAGGAGATCCAACCCCCTTCTTTAGCTCTTTCAATGTCATGATAGCGTTGCGCATCTAGTTTACTGTTTCCATTTTATTATGTCTTACTGTTTCCTGCTATGACAAGAAACTTATATCTAGTGAAACACCTGCAAAGTCAATGTGCATTTTCGCCTGATTACACTTCTCCTGAAAAGACTCTGGTTCCTTCATATCTGGAGTTAATTTGAACTTGTGAGAGTGGGACAGCTTACACCTTTATCATTCTAATTAGGAGACAGTGGATTAGTTACGTCATTAAGTCCCAGCAAAATGTGAGCAGGGGCCTAATTAGCACAATAACTTAAAGCCCTTATGTGCTGGGTCTGAAACTGTGTTATGTCGTAACCAGCTGCATAACCATATTACTTTGTTCTATTGAGAATATGGTAATATTGAGCTTCTTATGGTATGGTATGAATAGCCAAATCAATAGCTTTCTGTAGCCATGTCAATATGTTGTAAAATGTGACATTATGGGAACAGATCTAAAAATTGAGGGGACATTTTTGCATCTGAAACAGAAGCTTAACTAACATTATAGCATGTTAGCTATATTGCATTTTAGTTGTTGTTGTTTTTTTTTAAGTTTTTTTCTCTTGTATATGTTTTTCAGATTTTTCTCTTCATTTTTTTCATCCTTGGAAAAGGAATGCTTTTCTGAGGGCTGCATTGTACAAATGTACAAATTAGGCATCTAAGATCAGCAGTAGTTTAATTGTTTTATTGTTATTTGCTTATTGGGGAAAAATCACTGTTAAAACTAAGACAAGTAATGAAAATCAAAATGTCTTTTTATCATTATACAGAAGAATAGGCCCAATTGACTTTGAATTTCAATTGGTGGCATCACCTCTGTGCTCCAAACTCCATAAATGCTACATTTTGGCAACTGGGGTGGCTCAAATTCACTGCTTTCTGTTATTCATCTTTCACGTGGGATGTGAGAAACACGCTTTTCAACATCCTGTGAAGGCAGCATTCATTCAGATGCACTTTGACAGATCTGTCCAGATTTGTGACTATGAACACAGCTAGAAACAAGAAAATCAGGACAGTGTCTTGTTTTGTTTTTTTCCCTCCAGTGACAGTACATGAAAGAGCAAGTTGTGAACAGTGACGGTGACTTGATTTTACAGAGACAAAGTAGACTTGACTGGTTTCTAAGTGCTAACATAAGAAGCAACTTGCCCCCAGTCTACTGTTACTGAAGTTACTACATGTTCTGTCTATATTAAACATTAAATAACAACATTAACATGTTTTTGTGTACTAAATGTGTAACTAATGTGAATTTCTGAGAGCTTTAACCTGTAATTATAATGTTATTAACTATAAACACAAACTATTATACGATTTAATAGTTACTGTAATCAAAAACCCATCAGATGTGCATAACCTCCCCTGGGTTTCTCTTCTAATTATTGTTTGTTAACCTTATATTACAAACCCTCATACTTTCCCAGTAAGAGAAGGACTGGGGACTATTCAGGTCTGTCTGTGTGAATGCGTGTGTAAGAAAAAGGATGATGGATTGCAGGTTTTAAAGTTCTCCATGGATATTGTTTCTACGGCAGTCCAGAAGAAAAAAATAAATACCACAGTGACAATTTACTTGATGAACTACACACTATGCACACTATCTCAGTCCCTCATTTTTCATTTTATGTCACATTTCATTTTGTTTTCACAAAGTTGACTCTGTCTACAATGGTGCATTCCCCTTACTTTTACCTGAAATACATGCAGCAATTCCTTCTAAAATATTGCAATCCACGCTACTTGGTTTATACAGGCAGGTGACAAATTAAAACCCCTGACCGCTACAGTGAAGTGATTTGGTGGCTCTTGGAGCTATTTTACTAAGAGAATCAGGATCCACTTGTCCCCTTAGAGGGAAATCAATACAGAATGGTTGTGAGAGATTAGCCTTTATCCTGTGATGAAACATTTCCATCCCAATGAGTGGTCTCTTCCAGGATGATGAGACTCCAATCTATAGGGGTCACTAAATGGTTTAATAAGTATGAAAATGTGATGTGAATCACATGGAATGTTTTGGATGTATTAGACACATCTTTTTACCACAGTCACTAAAACATAAAGATACTTTCTGTTTTGTTTTGTTTTTTTCCCTCAATTTGCCATTGTCTTTATTCTGATAAAGGTCTCCATCTTTGTTATACTTTAAGCAGGTGTCTCCTGTTTAGACTCAAGGATCAGATAGATCCTTCTCCTTCATGTGCTCAGAAAAAACAAAGAAGGGCATTTAATGTAAACTGCAATGCTTTATTTCTAAATGATAAGAATAAAAAATCTGAAAGCAGACTTTTATTAAGAAGACAATGTACAGTACTGTGGATGGGGTAATTTATTGAAATGCACTGACATACGATGTATATGTTTATACAGTGCTATTGATCATGAAAGTCAATATTGAACCTTTATTCTTCAAAACCGCCTGAACTCTCTTAGATAAGCTCTCCTGTACTTTCTTTAAGTAAGTAGTCTTCATGAATAGTTCTCCAGGCTTCTTGAAGGACATTCAAAGCTCTTCTTTGGATGTTGGTTGTTTTGTTCCATTCTTTGTCAAGATGATCCCACACTGCTTCAGTAATGTTAAGGTTGGAAGTCTGAGGACATCAGCCCGTGGCTGATAGAGGCCCATTATGTGTTTTTCTATCCAGGTATGCATTTCTTCTTTGGGATTATTGTTACGCTGATAAATGAAGTCATTGTCAGCTAGATGTTTTCCAGATGGTACTGCATAGTGGCACTTTTTTGTGTTCCCAATTCTATCAATTTTGACAAGATTCCCAACAACACTGGCTGCAATTCTGCCCAAACAGATGGTTGTAGACACTCATTGTAGTACCTCTTTCTTGACCTCCATATATATATATATATAAATATAAGAACTAACTTCAGGTATGGCCCCCACAGAGCCCAGATCTCAACATCATTGATTGTGTCTGGGATTACATGAAGAGAGAAGGATGCAAGGAAGCCTTCATCCACAGAAGATCTGTGATCAGTTCTCCGGGATGTTTGGAACAATCTACGAGCCGAATTCCTTCAAAAACTGTGTGCAAGTGTACCTAGAAGAATTGATGCTGTTTGGTCACACCACATATTGATTTGATTTAGATTTGTCTTTTGTTAATTCAGTGCACTTTGCTGATTAATGAAAATAACTGATTAACATTTCCATTTTTGGAAGCATTCTTTGTTTACAGCATTTTTCTCGCCTGCCTAAAACTTTTGCACAGTAGTGTGTAATTGTTTTCTACATTCAAAACAAAAACAAATTATTTGTTTTTGTGACAGGCAGCTAACTAAACACCTAAAATACAATTAAAATTGGTTCTTTGCTATGGCACTGGTTCTTCCCTTGCACTGGGTGACTTTTTAATGCTTGAATGATTCATAAGTCAGTGCTGTCTTTTAACGACCTTTGGAAAGCCTGGAGAATTACTATTATTATTTTTTAAAGGCTACTTTAAAAAAATTACAAAAGTCTGACTTCTTGGAACCAAAATATAAAAAAATAAGGGGTGGATCAAGACTTTTGCACAGTACTGTGTGTTAGTCTGATAAAAAAAAAAAATAATAATCATGAATAATGCACATATAAATCTGCATATACATATACATATATTTTGGTTAAAAATCTCATTAAATTGTGCAAACCAGAGTTCTGCTCATTGAAACCACATTTTTTTCCTATGAATTTGTGTTTTTCCCCAATAATGTCAAATTTTCAACCAAACAACAAAAGGAATAAAGAATAATATTAATGAATTCATGTTTTCGCATACTCTCGTACATTTAAATATTTACTAGCCAATTATATTTTGGTGACTCTGAGTAACTGATTCATGATGTAAGAGTAAAAACAGTGGAAGTGAAAACAGTAACGTTTTAGGTTGTACCTAAAAGTATGAGCTATGAGATGTTGTAAAGAGAAATGTCAGGTGATCATTCCCTGTTGCTTTGTCACTTCTCTCAGAAAAATACAGGAGTGTGTGGGATCTGTTCTTATGAATTTAGATACTAATTATAAAGTACAGAGATTTGAAAAATAATCATCCTTTGGGCAGCAGACCTTCTAAGAGGTTTGCTGTCTTAATATTCGACTAGGCTATAAAAATAAAATTTAGCATGTTTCTTTTTCTGTTTGTTCAACACAAAGGTATTTTTTGAAAAAATCAATAGCTAAATTAGTTTACTCAGTGACACGGAAGAAAATGTCATCTTAACAGTTTAAAGTCATGAGTGTCAAAATTCAGCAGTGTTCCTTCCTACTTTTCTTGCTTACTTTGCTTTATGTCAGCGATGAGATCAAAAGTGTTTCAAAATAGAAATGAGAGCAGAACTAATTTTTGTAACAGCAGGTGACCTAGCGTCCTCCTGAATATGAACAGCTTCACATCTTCCATAAATTTTATAAATCTCCTTTTGGGTGAACTCGTGCTGTCTTTGTTGGTCTAATGAACTTGGTTTGATTTTCCTGATGAGAGAGTCAACTGTATATGATTACATGAGGCCTAATTGTTTGATATTATTTCATTCTACTGTATTTTCCATGTTCTGTCTTTAAAAGTATTGGATGCTGCAATGACCCAGTTTCCCAATACTGGCCAATACAGTTTCATTTTTTTTTTCAGTTGACTCAGTTCATCAGTGCTGCTTATGATAGGATCAATAGAAGCGAGGGAGAGGTGAGGTGGTTCACTGGTGTGTGGTGGCGCCACAGCATCAAAGCATTTCAGAGCGGAGTGGTTCGATAGCTTGTTAGTATGCCTGACAATTTCATCGCAAAGTCTGAAATGCAAAAGAAGACACACTTGCTCTAAATTTAAATCTCCCACTTTTTTCAGCTTAGACTGAGTTAAGACTTGCATTGCATATGTACAGTAGTCTTTGCCATAAGAATAGTTATAACTCTGTAACACCCAGCCTTCTATTCCTTTCAGCAAAATTTGCATCTTTTTTCTTCTTCTTTTTGCAGGGGAAGTGAAAAAGGCGGATACTGTATCTTGCACAGCTCAGGTAAGTTTTTGTGAAATAATGCAGTTCACCTTTAGTTCCCCTCTATCCTCCTCAGTCATGTCGGGATTGATTGCATGAGATAGACCTGTTTTTACATTCAAAATTTCATGATCTGGCATACTCAGTGGATCAGTCAGAACCTCAAAGGGGACACCAGGATGAATCCAAGATGAAGAAATGTGAATGCTCCAGCTCTCAGCCTGCCCAAAGGTGCCTGTGGGGAGGGAACTAAATGATCAGTTTTGATATTTTACCAGTTTGCACAGCGTGGTGCTGAACACAAGTGACATGGCCAAAACTACGGCTTCTTAAAATGTCACAATGTCTGAATCCATTTAAAGTCATTTTTCTGCAGCGCTATCCAACTGGGCAGCAGACCTAAGAGGTTTGCTGTCTTGTAAATAACAAAAAAAAGGGAAATTATTTTTTGAATTTTGCTTTCAGTTTTCTGTGCAATTCAGTCAGTGGATGAAACTTTATTGAAATGCATCTGGCTCAAAGTGGTGGCTCAAATTGAGTTTTAAAAGGATATTTATATGTCTCTGTGATGAAAACTTGATATCAAACACATTTTCCTAAGGACTCCAGCTTCAGAAGGCTCCCACTTTACTGTTTTCCAGCTGGATTGGAAAGAAGCAATTACAATTCTAGCCAAACTGTTACAGCTCTTCTGCTCCAGTTGCTGCCACACAAACCAGCACGAAACCAAACAGCAGGTACTGCTTGTTTAATTACTAGTTTAAATTATACCTAATGGGTATTTGAAGCTGAGAGAACATATACATAATACAGAAAGAATTGACCCCCGGCCCCTCCAGTTGGTCAGTAGAGCCATGTCTCTCACACTGAATTCATTAACATTAATGCTGTTTTGTTTAATAAAGTCTAGAACAGGAGGATTGACATGTGCAAAATGTCACCTACCTATGAATTCTCCTTGTGTACTCCAAAGACGCACCGTGTAGTCAGTGGATGAGGTAAGCACCACTTGATCATTGTCAACAATGTGCAGGCTGGAGCAGAATAAAGAGACATGAGATGAAATGGGAGAAGGCATTTCTGGAGGAACACACTAAATCATCTACCCTGTTGGTACGTAAGATGGCAGATGCATCGTGGGCAGCTTCTCACCTATACTGATTGTACGTTTAAGCCCTTCCCACATGCAGTCTCTTCTATACTTTGTTTATGTACTGCAGCAGCAGGAAGTTACCGGTAAGCTGTTTCTGTTGCTGCTGCTGCTGCAGCTGCTGCTGACACCTCAGACTGAGAATGAGTGGATTCACTAAGGATGTACCCATGAGGAATTTTAAGCATGCAACTAACTAAAAGTTAAACACACAAAGAGTCTAATTCAGTCAGGTCCACTATAGTCAAAAAAGGGATGGCATTTCCAACTGTAGTAATTTATATTTCATGGCATGGCTCTTTTCTGTGCCTTCCTACACTTTCAAATGGATACATATAAAGCCAGAGCTGGGGAGAGCAGCAGCAAGACCTCTGAGCAAAAAGAGCAGGCACCAGTGATAACACATATGACACTGATTAAGTCAGACACAGCATGAAAAGAGGAGCTGGCCTGGAGGTGGGTTGCAAAGCAGTTTGCAGATACACAGTAAAGCAGACTAAAACATCTTAAATACCATGTCCTATATGAAATGTGTGAATTGGATCCTAGAAGAGTGGTTCGTGTGGGCTGGCACTGATGTCAGCTGCCTGGCTTGAGACTGAGCTTGATTTTGTGACCCACCTGAATTAATGCTATGCTCTATTTCTGTATTTTACATACCCAGTAACTGTGTTGGTGTGGGCACGCCAAAAGGTTTCAGCTAAAGGAATAAAGGAAAAAAAGTGTCCTGATAAAGACAATATCTAAATTTCACCATTTGCCAAACAAAAGAAGAAATCAAAGAAAAAATAATATACTAACCTCTTAGTGATTTCTTCTCAGGGTCTAGCTTTTCCATGCTGTAGACATAGATGTAACCAATTCTGTCAGCCATGTACAGCAGAACATCCTTCTCTGCTTTGGCCAGTTTTGTTATCTTTTGTTGAAATTTGGACTGAAAAGTGCAGATGAAAATAAAAATTGGAATTTACTTAATACTTCTGTACAAATCGATCCCTGATTATTCAAATTCATTATTTGATAATGGATCTCTTCAGCTCAAATGAACAGAAGAAAAGGAACAAAATCAAACAATAACAGTTATCTCCCCCGTGGTGACCAAATGTTACCTTCCCCACCGAGGGACTTAATAGCCTACATTTCACTGAATAACGTTCCTCTTCAAATAATATAACATATACATAATAGAATAAAAGCTGTGTTGACTGTTAACAAAAAATTGCAAGTATGCGACCCATTGATGGTTGGTTAATAAACACAGGTGAAGCCAACAACTCTTTTGATTCGGAAGATTTTTTCAGGTCATTTGTGTTAATATTTTTGTGCTGCTTCTTGTGTTATTTGGGCTGACTTTAGCAGAATTGCTTAGGCACACATTGCATTTTATTTCAGCTTTGATGAGGTTGGAGAACTGCTTGGATGTCCTCATGTTCACCCACCTCCCAAAGCAAGAGGCCCTGCTTTGCATTACTTAGCTGCAAGGAATGTACCTGGGAGTTTCTTAAAATCTAGAGCTAAGCAAAGAACATGCAGACTATATATTATCTTGATTTTTATTCAGCTGTTTTAACGATAAGAGAAAGAAAATAAGTATTCCTTGATTGCCAAAAGGGAAACAGGAAAACATTGCAGAGTAAAAGATCTTACAGCTTTGAAGCTGCTAACAAACTTTCCTCTGCCGAGCACATTCCAGAGATTTACACAGCCTTTAAGAAGAGAAAAATATATAATTAACATTATAATGGAGGACACTGTAAGGTTGCACAAGTGCAGTCTTGCTTATTAGACCTGTTTATAGCACTGACCTTCGGCCCCAGATGACAGGAGAGCTGTAGTTGAGGAAAGCTCTTTTAAATAGGAATCCTTCAGGAAAACTATGCTTGGAACACTCGTATCCAGACCTAATTGAGAGAGGGAAAATGTGAGGCAAATGCAGTGATTTGATCACATTAAATTTCACTTTGAAGCTCCAAAATCACCTTTAACATCTTGCTGTTCAGCTACAATGGGACTAACAAACCGACACTGTATACGTCCAGAATCCACGTTCCACACTATAATCTCGCCATCAGAGCTGGCAGTGGCCACAAAAGATGGGGGACACTGTGCCATACAAAGGATGTCATCCTTATGGCCATTTTTCTGTAGAGAGGCAAACTGTTAGTCTTGGTACAATTGCAAAAAGATTAATTTGTTAATCCTAAACCCAAAACTGCAGTTCAGTCTGAGTGATTCAGAGTAATTATCCATCTTTACACAAGGTAAAATGCATAGCTTATGGTTATATATATATGTATATATATATATATATACAACTTCTTCAACAGGTTTGACCAGCCCACAACCCCCCCACCCTCACCTTCACTACAGAGTCCAATCCCCACTCTCCTACCTCCCTCGCTTCCCCCCTTCCTGACACCATGACACCCCCCTCCTCCAATCCCTCTCTCAGCAGCAAGACATCTCCCCCCCTCCCCTCTTCCCAAACATCTCCCAGTGTCACAGTGGATCAGGTCAGGAGACAACTGAGGAAGCTTCGCCCCAGAAAGGCAGCAGGCCCAGACAAGGTGTGTCCTAGGATGCTAAAGGCGTGTGCTGCTGAACTTGGGGAGCCGCTACAACGAGTCTTCAACCTCAGTCTGCGACTGGGGAGAGTGCCCGCCCTATGGAAGACATCCTGCATCGTCCCGGTCCCCAAAAAGAACCGGCCCAATGAGCTGAATGACTTCCGACCGGTGGCACTGACGTCACATCTTATGAAGACTCTAGAGCGGCTCTTCCTCAACCTCCTCCGACCACAGGTACAACATGCCCAGGACCCACTACAGTTTGCATACAAGGCGGGTGTCGGAGTGGAGGATGCCATCCTGTACCTCCTACACAGAGCCCACTCACACCTGGATGGGGGAAAAGGCACGGTCAGGATCCTGTTTCTTGACTTTTCCAGTGCCTTTAATACCATCCGGCCCTGTATGCTTCAAGAAAAACTGAACAGGATGGAGGTGGACCCCTGCCTGGTGGCTTGGATCTCCGACTACCTCACCGACAGACCACAGTACGTCAGGCTGAAGGACATCACGTCTGACACAGTGGTCAGCAGCACAGGAGCACCACAGGGAACTGTGCTGTCCCCTCTTCTCTTCACCCTGTACACCTCTGACTTCTGCTACAACTCTGAATTATGCCACATTCAGAAGTTTGCAGACGACACAGCCATCATGGGGTGTATCTGGGATGATCAGGAAGAGGAGTACAGAAGTCTGGTGAGGAACTTTGTCGCATGGAGTCACACAAACCACCTGCAACTCAACACCTCAAAGACTAGGGAACTGGTTGTGGACTTCGGGAGGTCTAGAGCAGGTCCACTGCCGGTTCAGATAGAGGGGGAGGAGGTGGAGGTGGTCAACAAGTACAAGTACCTCGGGCTGTGGGTGGACAATAAACTGGACTGGTCATGCAACACAGAGCACCTGTATAAAAAAGCCCAAAGCCGACTGTACTTCCTCAGGAGGCTGAGGTCTTTTAACATCTGCAGGAAGCTCCTGAGGATGTTTTACCAGTCGGTGGTTGCTGGAGTACTTTTCTATGCTGTGGTGTGCTGGGGGAGCAGCACAGCAAAGAAGGACTCATCCAGGCTGGAGAAATTGATCAGGAGGGCTAGCTCTGTGGTCGGCATGAAGCTGGACACTCTGGTGACAGTGGCAGAGAAAAGGACATTAAAGAAACTGATGGACATTATGGACAATGCCAGGCATCCTCTGCACACGGCCATTAACAACCAGAAGAGTCTGTTCAGTGACAGGTTGCTTCTCCCAAAGACAAGAACTAACAGACTTAAAAACTCCTTTGTCCCACACGCCATCAGACTGTTTAACTCCTCTCTGGAGGGGAGAGGGAGGGGAAACAGGAGGACAAAGGAGGGGGGAACAACTAAGCTGTAGTGCCTCTTCACCTCTTCACCTCACTGTGCAATACCTTTTGTGCAATACTTTTGTAAATAGTCAACAGTGCAATAGACTCAATACTTGAAATGTGCAATTCACTTGTATTTTTATTTTTATTCCTATTTATTCTATTTATCCCCTTCGTATATTTTATTTATATTGTCTCTGTATTTATATATATGTGTGTGTGTATAACTCTGTAACTTCTGTCAGTGCTGTGCTTTTTTGGAAATCGAATTTCCCAGAGGAACCCACCCGAGGGATTAATAAAGTTCTATCTAATCTAATCTAATATTTATGGGGGTGGGTGCGTGGGGGGTATTGTTAACATATATAACAAGTACTATATAAAAATTTAAAATATCATGTCACATTTCACCTCTGACACTTCATTTAAGGGCAATAGACTGAACGGAAGGTCAAAGTGATTGCAACACTATGTTCGATCAGTAAAACAATGTTCTATTTTTTTGGGATTGATAACATATACACACACACACACACACACACACACACACACACACACACACACACACACACACACACACACAGACAGACAGACAGACAGACAGACAGACAGACAGACAGATAGATAGATAGATAGATAGATAGATAGATAGATAGATAGATAGATAGATAGATAGATAGATAGATATGGAACTATTAATGGGGATTATATACACATACACATATGTTATTTCATTGTATTTCATTATCTACATTACAGTAACGGCTTATAACTACTTAAATACATAACAATTTGAATACATGCACATGTTTCTGAATAAGTACTATTTCTTTTGGAAACCAACCTTTTTTCACTTGATTTTTTATTACTAAACACATTTACTAAACAATGAATCCTACACATGTACTATATACACTGATACAAATCATATACGGGACCTCTAAGAGCTAGCTTGATTAACTTATGTCATTTCTCAGTTCTTTCATATATTAAAAAAAGAAAGAAAAAAGGAAACAAATTACACAACTAGCTCAATTTGAACAATATATCAGTCTTCTCATTTAACTCTGCGTTATTGTGAATACTTTGTAAATATTGCCAAAACAATTCCTGAATCTTATCAGCTTAGAAATGATCAAGAAGTTTGTGCACCTCATGGAATACGTAAATGCCAGAAAGGTCAACTTCTGTTAAGCAATAATTTACAGGAAATGAAAAATCAAAGGATTAAAGAGCTGGGAGGAATCAGGATGGAGAATATTTTGAGTTATTTCAGGCCTAATATGAATGTCAAAGAGCTTTCACTGAAGTCTTGATTTTGCCTAAAATATTCAAGCCAAATATGTCACACATGGATTAGCAACTCATTTGATGTCAAACCCCTGAGCAAGCAGACAAGCCAAACATTAGTCCTGCTGCTGTACTTCACACACTGATACAAAGTGATTCATCTCGTTCTTCATGTGCCTATTTCTCACTGCACTCAACAGGAGGATTTTGCTTGGAGTGATGCTGCCAATGTGTAACTGTATACACCACTAACCGGGAAAAGCAGATGGCATTTTGAACTTGGATTATATTCCGTGCCAAAGTGAAATATTTAGCGGAACTAGGTCATGTTTTTAAAGTTTAATGAGATGCAACACAACACTGACCATCTGGAGGAACTGAAAAATTCACACTGAACTGGAGGCTCAGTGGGTAATGGGGAGGAGAGCAGTACATATAAAACAACCCATTGATCTTCCTCCTCCAGGCCATTAATGAAAAACAATTTCAAGAGAGCCCGCTGTAGATAATCAAAGGGGTCACTTTTCTTCTTGGCCACTGTAATGTAGCCTTTCTGCTCTGTTAATGGGCGTCTTTGAGGGTGAAAGGAACCATGAGGCATAATGAAAGAGATGGAAGGGCATGGGACTTGCTTCATCCAATGAATCATACGGCATTAATGAGAATCAGTTTTTCTCCTGCAGCTCATGTATGCAGAACTGTGTCCCGCTGTCAGAGATAACTCCACCAAATTAGTCAGGTGAGATCAGATGAAACAAAAACTGTAATTTATGAGCTGATATTTGAGGGGGTTGATTACGCAGCTTTGAGAGCACTAGTCACTTTCAAAAAAAATGGAAAGAAATCTGAGCACTTGGCAGTTTTACCTGGTAATGAAGTCAGGATTCGCTTGGTCTGCGGAGGCGATTAAATGTTTAGTGTCCAAAGCAGCATAATTTGTTGTCTCATCATATCCAAATATGATGGTCAATCAAAAGAGATTATGTTGAGCTTTCCTTTTGTGTCTTATAATAGAACAAAACATACTTCGGAATTTTATAACTACATATATGTCTCCAAATGCCATTATATAAGAACATAGAGTCCTTGTTTATTAATACACTAGAAGGTGGTAAAAGAACACATCTTTTCTGATTTTTCATTAAGAAAAGATTGCATTTTAGTGGTATTGCAATAACAAGTGTTTTTTCTTTAATAAAACTCTTGATATAATTTTATGTATACACAAAATAATAAGAAACCTTATAAGACACTGTAATATTGGTGTTCAAGGTCTGCATTCTGGACTAAATCAGTGAGAGAAACATCATTTCAGCAGAATCTCAGATTGTGTGGAACAGAGCGTGCCATGAAATACAAGTATAGGTGACAGGTTAGAGTTCAGCTGCACTGGAACTAAGACCCAAAGAAGTGATGTGAGGACGCTGATGTGTATGGAATAAAATTAGAAAAATGCCAGCATAATTAAGTATTGTCAGACATTTATGAGGACAATTTTATGAGAGGAGTAAAGGTGGAAAACTGAGGAGAGGAGAGTGAGGCGGGAAGGGATATTTCACTGCTTGAGTTTAAAATCTGTCTGCAGGCAATGCTACGCAGCAGGGCAGAGATCAGGGAAGCTTTGTTACCCATCTTTCCCTCTGAGCTTTTCAGCCAGTCAGCAAAAATTATTCTTTGGACTTTCATAAGACTATAGTATTCTTTATATGTCTGTATAATATGAACACAGGGGCAGTAGGGAAGCTTTATTTTCAGTGTTTGTAGGTGCAACAGTGACTGAGGCAAAGCATGGTCAGGACTGGCCCGGCAGCCCCTACTAAATAATGTACAAAGATGATTTGTTCTGTGACAGGAAGGATAAAATGCACCACGGTGGGTTGTGTAGCATTCTGATTACACAGACAAACCTAAGTAGGTACTGAAAAATCAGATGCAGGCTTCAGCTTGTCTAGAAATACAAGAGGTAGGTGTAGCTATTTTCTTTTCCTTAAATATAGCAATGCCACACTGTGTCAATTTTCCGCATTTAAAATTTCACACAAACGTATGACCAGCAAAATGCTGTGGTAGTCCAAGAATTTACACTGGCACATTATGAGAATGCATTACAATTGTTGTATGAAAAGCATTTTAATGGTCAATGTGATTCAATGTTTTGTATACAACCAGGTTATAACAGTTATTATAAGATTATGTTCCATGCTATGATCATGTGCATTGATGTATAATCTCCAATGTATATTTAAAACAACACACTGACTTCACAATGATAATCTGACACAATAATAATAATCTGTGATTCAGCTAGATAGACTACAACTCTAGTTTTTTAATGTGTTCCACTAGACTCACTTTGCCCTTTTTTCAATTTAGTACAAAAGCCTGTGCTTTGGCTGACATCAGCTTCACCTAAAATACATGTCACAAAGGAACACAAGCTCACTCAGAGGGCACTAAACACTTTTTTAAAAATGTTTTTAACTTGAGCTTCTGTTGTTAGACTTGTTGTTGTCAAAAGAATATTTGTAGTAGTGTTCGTAATTACCAGATCATCCTGCCATGAAGCCTGTGGCCTCTGGACATGATGAAGATCCTCAGGTATGTCCTGACAAAGTACAGACGCTTAATCAGAAAAACAGGGAGGCATTTTGAATTTTTTATATTAGCAATACCTTTTTTTCCTTCATCTTTAAAACATCCTTTAAGGATAAAACATGTCATTAGACATGGGATTAAAAATGTGCATCATTTTTTCTCCTTCATTTGTCTGGTTTTATAAAACAATTTTAAGAAGGGCATATGTGATATGAACCGTCTTTATTTTCTATTTCAGAATGGAGGTTAGCTGGTAATAACAGTGTAAACAAATCCAAATAGGATGCAACATGATGGAAGGATGGAGGAAAGAAGAAATAATTGGATGGGGATTTCTGAAATACAACTGACAGATAATACCTTGAATTCGTTCATTTCTTTTGTACTCACTGGGTAAATGTCAATCTTCCGGTCCCTTCCCACTGACATCACATAGCTTCAAACATAAATTGCACAAGCTCAGCATGGATTCAAATTTATTCTAAGCCAAAAACACTTCCAAATATCACATCATTACTCACAAATTCCTGTGGACTTGGAGAAAGATGCAGTCACACACCTCACGACATTCACCATCTACAGGGAGAAAAAAAATTCAAAGTAACTTTTCAATGATCAGATAATTTAATGTTTCAAACTTTCTGAGAGAGAAAAAGAAAAAAGAAACCCATGCCTTTCTTTAATGTCTTCAGGCATAGACCATTGTTGAAGTTCCAGATCTTTAAAGATCCATCTCTTCCACCAGTGACGAGTCTGCAGACTCGAGAACATACGATGTGAGAATGGCATCTTATGGCAATGTAATATAAGTATGATAAGGTAGTGGCTTATTATATTATATAAAAGGTGACACTAAATATTGTATCATACCTTCTCCCTTTGGGATCAAATGTCAAACAAGTGATAGAAGACAGTTCGTGAGAGCCACCAAACTCAAAAAGTTGACACCCAGTGTCAAAATCCCAGACTCTCACAACCTAAAACCAGTAACAGCTCAGGTTTATTAAACACTTGATTTTCAGAATATCTAATATGATGGTGGTGTATGTGTTTTAACAGACACTGGAATCATTATTAATAGAATTCCTAAGGTGGTTAACATGTTGCAAAGCAGTAATTTACTCACAGATCCTTCAGTGCAGCTGACTACCTGACGAAACTCCTTACTGTAACCGCAGCACAAAACAGGCTCATTATGAGAAACAGTGAAGTGGCGGTGAAGCCGCTGCCTGACAGAAGAAAAAGATAAGAAGATGAATGAAATGACTAGAACGAGATTAGTATTAAGGAGACACAGTCATCTCTGCAAAAATAAATCTCCTATAAATCTCATGTTCAGAATGAAAGTAGGATTTTAGTTTAAAATCAACAGCTGTATTGAACTTCAGAGCATATTGGATCCCCTCGCTAACTGAGCTCAAAGGCATGACATCCTACCTTAACTTCAGAGGGAGCATAGTCATACAGTCCGCTGCAATATACAGAGACTTCATTGCAGGGGAATATGCGCATGCAGAAATATCACCATGAATCCGGCTTGCTTTGGGGTCTGCTGTAAACAGGCAACACTGATCCTGAAGATGCCAAATCTGAAGTAAACAGATGAACAGCAGTGAAAGACCTCACACTGTTTACTGTTTATCCTTTTAATCACAGTATAAATTATGTCTTATGAGAGAATAAAGTATACTAGAGTTATACATTTATGTGAAAAATAAAGTAAAATATTTTTTACATCTTACATTTAAATACTATGAGTTCAATAGTTCGCAGATTCACTTTTAGTAGCAAAAACCTGAAGTAATCATTTTCTGTATTACTTGATCAGCTTCTCATATTGGTGTGTGAGAAATTGGTGTGCAGGAATTTTGGCCCACTCGCCATTGTGATACCCTGATTACTTTCTTTGTAGATTTGTTGATGTGTCTGGGATAACCGTCCTGCTGCATAATCCACTTTAAGCTTCAGCTGTGAGACAGATGGCCTCAAATTTGTCTCTAGAATACTTTGGTATACAGCAAAATGTATAGCTTACTCTATGACTGTAAAGAGCCCAGGTCTGGTGCAATACAAGCCTAAATCATCACCCCTCCACCACCATGCTCGACTGTTCACATGAGGTGTTTGTTCTAATATGCTGTGTTTGATATTTGCCAAACATAGCATCATTCACTGTGGCTAGAGAGCTCCACTTTGGTTTGGTGTGTACAAGGAACATTATTTCAGATGTCTTGTGATTTGTTAAAATGCAGCTTTGCAATCCTAAACCATGTTGCTGTTCTTTGTAGAAAGAAGAGGCTTTCTCCTAGCAACAAGAACGGTCTTTTTTTTTTTGTTTGTTTTGTTTTTTTAAAATAATTGTACCGTCGTGAACATTTCATATCCTAACTCTGACCTGTAGTTTCTGAGATATAGATTTAGGAGTTTTTCTACTTTCTCTGAGAATTGCATGGTCTGAAGTTGGGGTGAATTTGTCTACTCCTGGGAACATTGATCATTGTATTAACACACAATGATTGCTCCAAATCAGCAAACTCAATGATGATCGGTCAATCAAGTGTGCTTCATTAGCAGCCCAGGCCAACACTAACGGGGCACTTACTGTTTCACAGAACAGCATAGAAACTTTCTTTTTGACGTGACCGTATATACAGGCTTCTATCAGTATTATATTGTACCACTGAATCCTTATTATTATGGTTCATCTGTAATCATCTATCAAGTAATGTGATACAATTGAAACTCACTGTCAAATTTAAAATGTAGTGGACTAAAAAGAAAAGTATAAGTATCCCCACTGGAACATGGTGGCACTAAACTGGCAAAGTTAACCTTATATCAAGTTTTCTAATACTGTTGGAGAAATGCACATGGGCTTGATGACTGTACAATAATAAGAATCACAAATCATTTGTATAATTTGGAAAACATAAAATCACACGTAAAACATAAAAATGAGTCATCAGTCACTTTCACAGTGCAGTCCGTTGAGACAGAGAAGATTTGATTGTCTTCTGAGGAGATGCGGATGGAGATGATAGGAGCAGAGTGGCCTTTCAAAATACCAGTTGGTTTTCTAAAATTGAAATTGAATCAGGTGAAAAAATGATTGTTTTTTAAAAACATGATACTTCAAAGAACAAAATCCTAGTGACTCTAGGTCCCTTACCCAGAATAATGTGGATTCCACAGGCGTATAAGTTTATCCATGCCTCCAGTAATCAGCAATCTGTGCTTCTGACAGAGGTCAAAGGTCCTGACACCTTTGTAGATGCTAAAGACAGTCTGATCACACGATGCCCGGACCTGTGGTGTCCAACTCAGCTGGATCTTCTTGGATTTACCTTCATAACAGGTCTCTTTAATTTCACTCAGCTGTTGCTCAGCATCTGTTAAAGGCAGCAGGCAGCCTCAAGAAGGAAAAAACAAAATAAAACATAGACAATACACATTTTATTTAGGCTTTGTGTACAAGCATCAATCAAAACATTCCTTTTGCACCAACGGTAAGTCATTATCAGAATAAATGACCAAGTCTGCAAGTGGACATGCCCACATGCGGGGTGATCACGCACACAGACAGGTGGGAATAGATTGGTGAATTTGTGATAGATGAGTCACCATGAGTCATTTCTCACAGCTATCCATCCAGGCTACCTAATGTTCAAAACTGAGTTTAATTACTGAACACTGCAGAATACAAAGGAGTTGATTTTTTAAATCTATTTTTTAACGACCATCCTAAGGATGCGTGATTTTCAATTTGGTTCTCTCATTACAGACACTGTGTATGCATCCAAAACAGACAAGTAAATATGTACATCCAAGTAACAACAATAAATGTATGATTTTCTGGTATTGTACTGAACATATTATATAGGAAAGACGGAAATAGAGCTGAACAGAAATTACCTATAACAAGAGAAGAAGATTCTTCATTTGATGAGGAGACAACAACCTGAAGACTATGAAAATATTTATTCTAAATTGGGAAAGAAATGTTTCTGTTTTAGGACTTTCATTTCATAATATATGTCAAATATCACACCATGACCAAACCTCAATATATTTCTTTGTATGGAGCATAACCACAGAAAGGTAAAACGTCACCTGTGTCACCCAGTCATGATGAACCTTCCATCTAATAAAAGCCAGGTTTGGAGAAAGAACTGCATGGTTAATTGATATGTTAGGTATAGTTTCAGTCTTTGGCAGTTTATTCCATAACCTATAAAAAGAGATGTGGAGATGTTCAGTCATGCCTGAAAACCATCAGACATTCAGAGATGCAACTTCATGTAAGTTATGTATAATTAGGGGACACATAGAATCTGAGGTATAATTTTAAATCACATAAAAATAACCAGCAACATGAAGTTGCCAATTTGACTAATATTCTCTATTACATTCTTGTTTACAGATTATCATATTCTCGTTTACAGATTGTTGCTTTATAATTTGAATTAAATGACAGCAGTAGTAACACTACTAGTAAAATACACATGTTTTAATCCTCCGTGAAACAGTCTAAAAATAAACTCTCAAAAGTGTTAAAAAGTGAATCAAATCAAGGTAACTTACCTTTAAACTGCATGATAATTAAAATAAAACAAAATAAATTAATAAAAATCACTGAGTTAAAAACCAGCTGGCACCAAAAGTGACTGATGATAAAATTTCTTCACTTGGCTTTTATAAATATATAAACGTTGAAAATTAGACGGTGCTAGAGGAAGCAGTAAATTGGATTTACAGTGTATGTAGAGGATCCTCCACTGATGATCCATATTCCACAATCAGTGGAGGATGAAAAACTGACCTTAACTTTAAAATAAATTTAAAAAAAAGAGAGAAAAAGAAAATCTCAAGAAAGCAAATCATAATAGCCATCTTATAATAGCCTCAGTATTGCAGTTACCATGCAACTGAAGTGGTGTGGGAGTTATTGTAAAGTGGGTGATATTACTCAGTAGAGCATCCCAAACTTTTAATTGCTGTGTATTATGCAGAATCACCAAACACATTTTAAATATATCTTGTCTTCTGAGGTATTTCTTTTTAACTTGCAAATTCTTTTTGATCAAGCAAGATCACAATTTGGGAGAAAAACTAATACTGAAGTACTGACATATGATTGTCTATGAATGGTTAATGCCTCTCCCAGGCTTTTTTTGATCATCCAGTAGTGGAGAAAATCAGAGGTAATACTTAAATTTGAATAGCCAAAATGTTTTGCTTAAAGTCACAAAAATATGTCACAAAAATATCTTCAAATGCATTCATAATATATACAGAAACAAAACTTGAATTTAAGTGAGTGTAAGTATTTGAAAAAGCAACATTACCTGAAAGTATCTCCAGCAGAGGATATTAAAATAATAGTCACACATCCCTGAGAGATAAAGCAGTTAGATCTCTGCCAGATTTTTGTTTGATAATTCAATCAGCTTTTAATAACAAGACCTACTTCAGAGTCTCCATACAGAACACAGCATTTATCCTGGCCATTGTAGCTATGAGCAGAAAAACAAACACCGTGTAAAGAATTCATTTAGGTAATCATAAGACGATGCTAGCGTGAAGAATTGCTGCTCACCTGTAGTCCACTGTCAGGGGTATTGTTTCTAGTTCACTGATCTGACAATAAGGCTCCAGAGAGAAAAGGTTATAAAGCTGGAGCTCTCTGTCCCTGCACAATAGTAAAGATATCTACATAAACAAACTTAGCAGAGCCCAGGACCTGTAGTTAATGAGACTAAATTTTATTTCACCACTTCTCATTACCCTGTCGCGATCATCAGCTTGTTGTACTCGCTCATCAGAGCAAAGTCACTTGCCCATTTTGACTTTGTATTTGTTGGATCTTCATTCTGTGAAAATTAACAAATACATTAAAAACTCATATTTACAAAATTCAAGGTCACTCTGAAATGACAATTGACCTGCTGTTCTGAGTTTGCTGTTTGTTATGTTAGCTAAATAATATGAATATGCTACAATCACCGTTAGAACAATTTTAAAGGTTTAAATGCTTTTCAAAAAATTTTTTTTTATTTAAATGCCCTCGTCGCTGATGTGCTGCATATTCCAGTATCAGTAATTATTTCCACAGTGTCACAATACCTGCCTCTTTTAGGAATTTACTGGTCTTTTTAAAAATATATACACTGGCAAGCTGGTTTGAAAGAATGTTCAACAGGAACTATTTAACTCAAGGCTGAATGCAACAGACTTTAAAAAGTCCATCCATCCATTCGCTTCCGCTTATCCTTTTCAGGGTCGCGGGGGGGCGCTGGAGCCTATCCCAGCTGTCATAGGGCGAGAGGCAGGGTACACCCTGGACAGGTCGCCAGTCTGTCGCAGGGCCAACACACAGGGACAGACAACCATTCGCACTCACATTCACTCGCACATTCACACCTAGTGGTAATTTGGATTATCCAATTAACCTATCCCCACAAGTTGACTTTAAAAAGTCATCAGGAAGTAATCATGGTGTTGACAGTAAGCATTCAGGTAAATGTGCACAAGCTGAAACATACAAACAGGTGTTTGGTCTTCTGGGGTTTAAGTTCAGGACTCCAGTGGCAAGCACACCCGTCTTCTCGCACTGTTACGATGGTGCCATCATGAGTAGACTGGATGTTGACGATAGGAATCCCGTGATTAAAGGAATTCATGGTGGCTGGCAGAATGAAGGCCACCTGGTTGTTGCGTCTTGCAGTTTCCTCCTGCCCTTTATACTGCTGCAGCATGTATGTGCAGAACTCACCCTGTATCACATTATGTTGTGTGTTAGAAAAGCCAGTGTTCTTCTGTATATTATTATTATTACAATTGTATCAGTTCTTTAAGGAATTATTTTTAGCCTTTTCTTTACTAACCTAAAATTTTGCAATTAAATTAAAGGTCATAATCCAATGTCCAGGGAAGATACATTACTATTACTGCACAAGGTGAATATATTAGTTTACAGTCAACCTAGGGCTAGGAGCACTCTGATAATTATTAGTTATACTTGGTTCACAAATCCCCACTAGCCAAAGTAATTTTACTGCTGTCTAGCTTTTGTTTTTTTTTTTATTGCATAATCCTGGTGTTTACATACATGGGAAAGTGTTTTGAAGGGGTGTATGCTTCACAAAAAAACATAAATAATCTCACCCATGAAATCGTCCCTTTGCCTAAATAATCAATCTTCTTAAATAACCCTTGAATCTCCATGTAGGTCTGTGAAATTTAAAGAGTGGAAGAATGAACTGACACTTTTCTACGGTAAATTCTTCAGGCAATTTCCTTAATTGTAGATAAAGGGAAATACAGACGAGGCAGATTTTAAAAAAATTCTGAGACAGAGATGCAAAAAGAGGTGTGATGCTATCTTACTGCATTAGGTAAATCCAAACACTTCTTCATCATAGGTCCAAATTTGGCCACATCAATGTATCTCAATCCACCTGATTCAAATTCCTTTGCAAGAAAAAAAATTTAAATCACATTTCAGAAATGAATAACCAGACAATACATTTTTTTTTAAAAAACAGAAGAGATCACACAATACCTCAAATGCTAGTTTCAGTTTCTCAAGGGTCTCAAGTGATATTTTCTCATCAATCTTAATCAGAAGGAGGGAATTGTGAGTTATTATGCAAGGCAACCTGGATTATTAGAATAAATCAGCATGGTGAAAAATAAAACAAGTAATTAAGTGTAATTGGCAAATATGCTACTTCCATTTTCTTTCACTCCATTTAAGCAGTTCTTAAAATCTGAGTGCTAAAAATGCAATTTAAAAGTATTTTTTTTTAATGTATATATTTATTTTACACTGAACCATTATCAGCACATATGATTAGGGCTCAACCTCAGAGTATAATTACTATCTGTAATGGTCACCACAGGCACCACCAGCAATGTCATGTCTCGAAGATGCTTCCACAAGGCCGGATGGCAGGCCATGCTCTCTGTGTTAATGGCCTATCCTCAGATTTTCCATGGTTTCCTAGCAACTGGTCCCTGATCCATGAAGCTCTTTGATCGATCATTAATAAATAACACGGATAAACAGCCTAATTCCTCAAGGATGAAACTAGGGTTGAGGTTTCCCCACGGTATCTCCTGAACTGGGGAGATAATTGTTTAATCAGTCAGAGTGATGGAAGGACTAAAAGTGTTCACATAACCTCGACTGCTTTGCAGATCCCTTTATAAGAGATGCATAACTTTGAACTCCTGAGCCTTTTCTGCCTAATCTGTTAAGGCGCACTGCTCATTACATTAGCTAGGAGTCTGACTGACATCTGCAACTGAAACCCACAAAGTTGAGCTGCTGCATTTGCACCAGCCTCCCACATAATTCTATCATTTTTGTCAGCTTGAAAGCTTGAATTTGAATCTACTGGGGACCTTTTAAGTAGTTGGCTCAGCCACAATGTTTGTTTTACTTTGGCCTGAAACATGGCCATCCTGGGCTCTGGGATAGATTGTCCTGCCCGATGTGCTGTCAGGGAGCAAGTAAATTGATCATCAACTTGATTTAAAATGGCATTTTTGGCATTAGCTCACATCCATGCTGCTACTGGTAGGATGTGCTTCAGCTGTAGTCAAGTTTAAAAGCTCTTCGAGATCTGTAACATGGTCTGTAAAGTCAAGTTCAGAACTGCAGCACTCTAGTGACATCTTCAGGCTAAATGTAGCAACTCTAGAAAAGAAAGCTCATGGGCAAGGGGTGAAAATATATAATGATGTTATCCCATCTGGACTTTGTTCTTGGAGAGATGGTTTGGTTAACATTTATTCACTCATTTCATTTCGCATTTAGCTTGATATTTAGATTTTTACCTTGAGGTTGTAAGTTGAATTGATGAGGTAATATTGCTGTCTCGTGATTTTCTCATTATCTCCGAGTGTGACAGAGTGCCTCCGTCTGCTCTGTTTGAGCAGCTCTTTCACCAACCAGTCAGGCTGTTCTTTTCCATCCTCGCTGTCAGTCAGTTGTCTTGGTACTGAAGAATCATCTGCTTTCTCATCCCGATATCCCAGCCCAGATGTGTTTCTTGTCCTCTCCTCTAAACCACTCAGTTCTGAGAGGATGCTGGAGGATTTGATATATGGGTAAGTAACGTTTAACCTTCAGTTATACAAGAAGGGACTTATTAGAGGAATCAAAATTCTCACATGTTTGAAAAAGAAACATTAGCGATGTTGCATATGATCTGTTTAATCCTAGGAATGTGATTATGATTCCCAGGTGACAGTGCTTCCTGCATTACAGGATAACTACTAAGTACTACCACAGATGGCAACACAAGCCCCATGACTACAGCAAACATTTTGTAACCAAGACTGAGAATAAAGCAAGGCTTCAACTTTTATCACTTGTCTAGACATTTAAACTCTGTTAGAGCTGACATTTAAAAGCAATGTGATTTCCAGTGGCGGCAGGGTAAACAATAACAGAGCAGATTACCTGTGTACATGTTGAGTCTCTAATCTTCCCGAAGCTGAAGAAGAGCGAACCTTTTTCCCCAAAGGCATTCTTTTTAATTCCTGTATCTTAAAGGTTGGTGTGACGTAAAAGGCACATTTTAGTGTTAAACATTTCTTCAAAGAGACCTCCAAACAGACGTTAATCAGTCAGATCTTACACTAGCTCACCTGATACTCACTTATGCATTACACCTGAACAGAGCAGGTGGCCCCGTGGTAACTAAGACACCAAAAGTGACAACTGAGACTACACAGCTTAAAACAAGACCCAGTGCTTGCAAAGAATCAGGGCTGTGACCATGTAAACATTGCAAATGGATAGAAATAAGCTATTGAGATATTGTTCTGTATTTTAAACTACTGTGCCACATTTTAACTTTCACTTCATTTAATTTACATTGCAAACCTACAGTTGCTAATATGTGTCAACAAAGGTTAAGCATTTTTCTTTTATTGTTATCAAGCTGTATAAGAATTGAGTTAAGTCCGATTGGGGAATATATTTTATATAAAACTAAGAGAAGCACGAGAACATTTGATTATTGGGCACAGACGTTAGGTCACAATATCACGCACACAAAAACTAAATCAGCAAAAATGAATTCTTTCATGTTTAATTCATAATATTATTGTGCTGATTTTACAGACTGAACTGAGATTACATAAAAACACAAACAGCTAATATAAAATGATGAAATTCAGTGAGGTCCTGGCCAGCTTGATCTCCACTCTGGCGAGTCTGAGTTACGCACAGCTGCTGGAAGTTTATTGACTTTCTCCTTATTGTTTGGACAGACATCTTTACTCAAAACCACTTTTAGAGCCTCCTGCTCTGTAAAGCCAAAAGATAAAAACCAACATAAGCACATCTGTCAAACCACAATCACTGAACAATCTGTTATAAAGCTAAAACATCAAAATAAATAAATAAATAAATAAATAAAATAAACTGGTGCTAACCCCTTTTAGGTAAAATTCTGTGTAACTGCTCCAGCTCCTGGGGTGTCAGAGACTTCATCACAGATGTGACAGTATTGACTGGCTTTCCGAAAAAATGGTCATAGGTTGTTACATTAGCACGATTCTTCTGAATCTGCAAGTTTCTTGGTACAACAGTGGGAACTGTAACATAGACAATCATCATCTAATACACTGCAAATCACCAGAGCTGCTGTTTACATGCATCTTCTATAGTTTTTGAGTAGACAGTACCTATACCGGGGCAGGTCACATTTGGATCTGTTTTGCAACAGCGAGAAACACTGACCATGAGTTCAGATTTTTGGTTTGGCTGGCGATAATTGGCCCTCATCACAGTGTCAGTAGAGAGTGATATGCGGTGCCTGTTGTGCATAGGTGCAAACCATCTGGCTGCTTTTTCAGTGTCATTGTACTCTGTCAAGAAGAAAATACCATGACAAAATGAAAATGAATGGCAAATGGAAAATGAACTGTAGAGAGAAATGTTATGAAATGTTATGACATCTGGATGTGTGTGCACAGATGTAGTCAGCCATTCTGACAAGTTCTCGTACATGAGATTGACTGAAAATTGTGTACCTTGAGGTGTACCCATGAAGTCACATTTGTAAGTGGAGAGGTACTGTGCGGTTAGGGCCTTACGGATCTCACCCTCAGAAGGGAGGCATTTCAAAGGGAATGCAATATGGTCAGAGTTTCTTGCAACATCCCTTGGCAGCCTCCACATCATGAAAGACTTGGGGGAAAATAGCTTAATTTAAAGGTTACAATACACTGTGAAAGGTCAAGCATGCCATTTCACTATAAATGTAAAAACTGAGGGTTGGTGCCAACCTTGCTGGGATGTGGGTTATTTCTCCTCTGCCCTGAGGCTGTTCCTGTACGAATGCATTCAGGTTTACAGGCAGGCTTCCAGCTAAAGTCCTTACTGTATATACTTGAACCAAAAGGTCCAGACTGTGAATATGAGTCTATCAATGACGTTGACAGGGGCTTCCTACATAAGTACCAGCACAGACACATAATTACACACACAACCATGCATAATATGTATGCTTATTTAGAGCCTCATAAGTCCATGATTTTACTTACAGGAAAATATCTGCAGCTGAACTTGGCTGGTAGACGAATTGCCTTTTGTGAGTTGTTTCATATGGATCCCACCACTGTTTCCCCCCTGGAAAAAATACTACTATACTGTAACTACTTTTTTAAGTATTTCAATCACTGTAGACATGGCACATCTAAAGCTGAGTTCAAATTAAACTTTTTGATCTACATAGTAACGACAGTATAACAAAGGCTACTGTATACCTCTGTAATGTAACTGTGCTTAAAATAAATGTTACTTTTTGATCCATTAAAATGTAGACTTGTACTAAAAAATGAATCTGTACTTCTAAGTTCTGTTGTTCTCTGTAATTTTAATATTATCCAGATTTTGCTTGAAATATTAACATGGACTTGGACAAAAATCACATATAACAAAAGCATACTGGAAAATTTACTGTTAGTCAATTTGGTCAAAATTGCCAGGTAAAACATGAATAGTAATTGGTGCATCTTTTTAATAAGAGAGTATAAAATGGGATATTGTGACTGTGGTGCATGTGCTTGTATTATAAGGATTTGTTAGAGGTGCCTTATATACACTGAACAAAAATATAAACGCAACACTTTTGTTTTTGCTCCCATTCCCCATGGGATGGACGTAGAGACCTAAAATTCATTCCAGATACACAATATAACCATCCCTCCCAAACAGTGGTCACAAATCAGTCCAAATGTGTGGTAGTGGGCACATCTGCTATATTGAGATAATCCATCCCACCTCACAGGTGTGCCACATCAGGATGCTGATCTGACATCATGAGTAGTGCACAGGTGTACCTCAGACTGCCCACAACAAAAGGCCACCCTGGAATGTGCAGTTTTTTGCGCTATTGGGGGTCTGGGGACCCAGAACCGGTCAGTATCTGGTGTGACCACCATTTGCCTCAGTGCAACACATTGTCGCATGGAGTCTATCAGATTGTCAATTGTGGCCTGTGGAATGTTGGTCCACTCCACTTCAATGGCTGTGCGAGGTTGTTGGATATTCGTGGGAACTGGTACACGCTGTCGTATACGCCGGTCAAGCACATCCCGAACATGCTCAATGGGTGACATGTCCGGTGAGTATGCTGGCCATGCAAGAACTGGGACATTCTCAGCTGCCATCTGCCCTGAACAATGTGAACCATGATTCATCCGTGAAGCGCACACCTCTCCAACGTGCCAGACGCCATCGAATGTGAGCATTTGCCCACACAAGTCTGTTACGGCGACGAGCTGGAGTCAGGTCAAGACCCCGATGAGGACGACGGGCATGCAGTTGAGCATCCCTGAGACGGTTTCTGACAGTTTGTGCAGAAATTGTTTGGTTGTGCAAACCAATTGTTCCAGCAGCTGTCTGGGTGGCTGGTCTCAGACGATCTTGGAGGTGAACCTGCTGGATGTGGAGGTCCTGGGCTGGTGTGGTTACACGAGGTCTGCGGTTGTGAGGCCGGTTGGATGTGCTGCCATATTCTCGGAAACGCCTGTGGAGACGGCTTATGGTTGAGAAATGAACATTCAATGCACGGGCGACAGATCTGGTTGACATTCCTGCTGTCAGCATGCCAATTGCACGCTCCCTCATTGCTTGTGGCATCTGTGGCATTTTGCTGTGAGACAAAACTGCACATTCCAGGGTGGCCTTTTGTTGTGGGCAGTCTGAGGTACACCTGTGCACTACTCATGATGTCAGATCAGCATCCTGATGTGGCACACCTGTGAGGTGGGATGGATTATTTCAATATAGCAGATGTGCCCACTACCACACATTTGGACTGATTTGTGACCACTGTTTGGGAGGGATGGTTATATTGTGTATCTGGAATGAATTTTAGGTCTCTACGTCCATCCCATGGGGAATGGGAGCAAAAACAAAAGTGTTGCGTTTATATTTTTGTTCAGTGTATATAGTAACAGACATATAAGGTGCCTTATATCCAATGTTCTCTCTAATTTTTCATGTGTCTGAGCGAACGCACAAACTCCCTGAGCGGTCCCTTGGACCACTGTGAGCAACAGTAGACGTGTGCACTGTGGTCACGCCAGCATCGAATCCATCCAAGTTACATGGTTTATTAAAATAATCAAATTACAGCATTTACATTTATGTTAGACTCCTTTTAACTGCTTTATCCCACTTACAATGAAAATGTAAAAACATCTTGTTCATGACCTGTGTAGTATGTTAACACTATTGGAAGTAAAAATAACTTGAACTCCAATTTTGAAAACAAAACTTTTTTTTTTTTTTTTTTTTAATAAAGCGGACTATGAGTCTGTGGTCTGGGAGAGAGTCCTGTAACTCTCTGTCTGCAAAATAAAGTATACAAAGACCAATGTTGGGTAATTAATTATATAGTTACTTCTTTAAAAAGTTACTGAGTTTTGCAAACAACAAAGTTTTTTGCAGCTGTTTACCTAAAAATGCTGCCAAGGCGTTTTTTAAATAAACATTTCAAAATATTTACAGAACAACCAGCTGTTCTGCATCAAATTTGATGCCACACAAATTATTTGTGCTACTCCAAAAAATCATTTCTGTCCACTGTGAGATAAAGGAGAACATCAAAAGCCTGATACCTGCAGGCCTGACAACAGGAGATGTATCACTGCTGTAACACCTGTAACATTCAGCAGTCGCCTCATTGTTCTGACGCACACAACAAAACTATTGACTACACTACACACTAACTACACAAAATTTGCTCTAAACGTTGCAAATCTCTGGCATTTCAAAACCGCCGTCACTCCTAAAACTTCCTGGAGTGCTTTCAAGCGTTTTCCTTATATGTTTTTACCGTTCCTTCCCGCAGTAAATATAAACAACGATAGTAATCCAGAAGAAAACCAAACATTGCATATATTTTTATCATAACTCTGGTTTTACGTGGCCTATCAACACAATTTAAAAACTGGTATAAAGCCCACACTTTTTCCGTCAATTGTTCCTTCTGTCCTGCTCACATCTGCAA